CCCCCCTATACAGAATTTTATTGTTAACAACCATTTGATCAATAAATATGAGAGATGCCCTCTCAAAAAAAAAAAAAACTTGTCTCCTGCCAGTTTCTATCTCAAGGACACAATTCTGGGAAGGAGGAAAGAGCTGGGAAACCCCCAGGCCCTGATCAGCCTGGTCTGGTTAACTCATTTGTCATTGGGTTTCATACTAGAGCTTAATCTTTATTTTCTCCTTTACCATTTGTCAGTAAAATTACAATTATTTCTAGAATCTCTTGCCTGGTTTAACTGCATCTGCATATCAATAGATGTCTCCAAGGGGTGGAGACTATTAGTCATCTGCATATCAACAGGGAATTACAAGGGCCTGCTAGTGTTTATCTCAACCGGAGCGGCTGGGTGGAGCTCTCTTCTCTTTTCTGCTGCAGCTGGGTCTGAGGAGAGATGGGACAATGGCTTGTAAGAAATAAACGGTTTCTTAAACTTCATTTCTCCCTTTGACTGATTGCAGTTTCAAAGATATTTTGCCCTGGGATTTCCCCCCCAGAGTTACCCATTCAAAAATCACCCATGGAGAAATTAATAATGTTATTCCCATTATAAACAAGGACAGAAGATTTGATGGATTTTAAAAGTGAAGATATGGGGCAAATGCTGGGATCTCCCAAACTAAAACCGTCTAGGGGTGCTGCTGTTAGCTGACCCTAGAGTCCTCTGGCACCCGCCCCCCACAGCCAGGCCTGTATTCCACCTCCTCCGTGTCTGCACGGGAGTTGTGTGTCCCCAGGCCACAGTATCTCTTACATTTCCTCTCCTAGTTTTCCACCTTGCAGATTATTGTGGACTGATTATTTTTGCCCCTCACCAGTTCATACACTGAAGCCCTAAATGTGATGACCACCCCCGTGAGATGGTATTTGGTGAGGACACCTTCGGAAGATAATTAGATAAGGGTGGGGCCCTTGAGATGAGATTAATGTCTTAAGAGGAGACACAGGAGAGTTTGCTTTTTCTCTCTCCACACTCCAAAGGAGAGAAAAGGCCATGTGGGCGCAGAGTGAGATGACGGCCATCCACAAGATAGGAAGACAGCTCTCACCAGAAACCAAACCCTGTCACACCTTGACCTTGGACTCCCCAGCCTCTAGAACTGTGAGAAAATCAATTTCTCTTCTTTAAGCCACCCAAACTATGGTATTTTATTATAGCAGCCTGAGCTAATACACCAATCCTCAAGATTCCTGGACATGTGGATCATGTCTACCTGGTTCATTTCGTTTCTTTCAGTTTAGCCCCATGCCTTTCAAAAGAGTAAGCACCCATTAAATACTTGAAGAGTGAATGAATAAATTGGGGTAGGATGAAGAAGTCCCCTGAACGTCCTAGGACAGAGATCAGCAGACTACAGCCCATGTGCTGGGGTGATGAGTCTGTTCCCCTCGGTTCCTGTCCCCACCGCAACAATGAACTGAAGGGCAGAGACACAGTCGTGAAGCAGAATGAATGAAAGCTTCATTTGAATATACTCGAAGGGAAGAACGGGCTAGAGTCAAAGCAGATAAGGGCAGGTTTACTTGCGTATCTGCAGTAGGAAAGAGAGAGTGAAGACTTATGCTTACCCTGGAAAACAGGATAGAACAGCACAGTGACAAAGACCCACGGGGAGAGACAGAGACAAAGTGTGATAAGTTGAGCAGTAAAGAGTCTCTTGAAAATACACAGGCCAAGAGAAGGGCATGCAGGCAACCCCAGGGGGGAGGAGGAGGGACACCCAATGGCTGGGCTTCTGTGTTTATGGCTTTCAGGAGTGGGTGACGGATCGGGGGTAGGCCTGCCAGGAAGTCTCATCTCGGGATTCCCTCTGATGAGAGACAGTAGGTCACAGTCTGCAGCCAGTCCTCTAGGTGACTCTGTCGGACAAGCCTTCTGTTCCTCTCCGAGACAGTGGCTCCTCCCAAGGACTGGGAACACGTCACAAGGACTGGGAACATGTCACTTAGGACTGCTTGCCGTGCCTTTAGATAAGTCATTGGCTGAATCTAACTTCCCAATTCTCTTTCAAAAGTGGAACCTTAGCCTTAAGACAAGTCTCTCCTTTTCTTATTATGCTAATTTCAGCATTTTTTAGGAAAATTCATCATATGCTTGTCCCTTGTCTCTGCACTATCTCACCTGCATTAGGTCTTCAGGTCGGCCCAGATGCAGAGCCTGTGGACTGAACTCACATGGCAAAGGGCATGAGTCTGTCTACCCTCTGGCTTAATCTGATTAATCCCTGAGATCTCTTTTCATCCGCTCATGCTCATGTCTATCTGCTTGCCTAATACATGGGCCACACCTGGCTTACCACCCTTTTTTGTACAGCCCAAAACCTAAAAATAGTTTTCATTTTTAAATGGGTGAGACAAAAAAAAAGTATGATATTTTGTGCCATGTGACCATTACATGAAATTCAAATTCAATGTCTATAAATAAAGTTTCATTAAAACATAGCCATGATCATTCATTTATGTGTATCCATAGAGTTTTCATGCTACAGTGGCAGAATTGAGTTGTTGTTACAGATATCTGGCTGTGATGGTTAATTTTACATAAACTTGACTGGGTCACAGGATGTCCAGATAGCTGATTAAACCTGATTTCTGGGTGTATCTGTGAGGGTGTTTCCAGAAGATGTTACCACTTGAATTGGTGGACTTATTAAAGCCGAGGACCTTCCCCAGTGTGGCTGGGCACAATCCAATCCACTGAGGGCCTGAATAGAATTCAAAAGTGGATGAAGGTTGAATTCACAACCTCACTGAGCTGGGACTTCGATCTCCCGCCCTTGGTGCTCCTGGTTCTCAGGTCTTCAGACCCAGACTGGAATCTACACCATTAGTTCTCTGGCTCTCAGGCCTTCAAATTACAGCCCTGGTTTTCTTTAGTTTCCAGCTTAGAAATGGTAAGCCGTGGGACTTCTCAGCCTCCATTATCAGGTGGGTCAAAACCTCATGATAAATCTTTTCGTGTGTGTGTGTGTGTGTGTGTGTGTGTGTATGCATGTGTTTATCTTTGGGTAAAATTGCAGTATTTACAGAATCTCTCACCCAGCCGTAGTACATCTCCATATCAATAGGTGTTTCCAAGGGGTGGAGAGAAGCAGTCCATCTCTATATCAATAGATGATTACCAGCGTAGGGGGAGCAAGGGTATAACTGGGCCAGAGAAGTTTGCTGGGGTCCCCTTTTTTGCAGGCAGGTAGTGAGAGACATAGGCAAGCAGAAGTGGGCGACTGCTTGTAAGCTTTGAACGGGTTTCTCCCACTTTATTTCTCCCTCTGACTGATTTCGGTTTCAAAGGTAATTTGCCCCTGGCTGTGAGAAATATGCCCCCTGTCTCCCAGAGTTACAGTGTCTTATTAATTCTATTTCCACTGGCACAAGAACAGACCCATAGATCAATGGAACAGAATAGAGAGCCCAGGGATAAACTCACACACCTATGGTCAATTCATATATGATAAAGGAGCCATGACTATACAATGGGTAAGACAGTCTCTTCAATAACTGGTGCTGGGAAAAGTGGCGAGCTACATGCAAGAGAATGTATTACTGTCTAACTTCATACACAAAAGTAAACTCAAAATGGATTAAAGATCTTAACATAAGACGGAATCATGTGAAACCATGTATGAAGATGTCATGAAACCATAAAACTCTTAGAAGAAAACACAGGCAAAAATCTCTTGAATATACACAAAAGCAATTTTTTTCTGGACACATCTCCTCTGGCAAGGGAAACAAAGTAAAAAATGAGCAAGTGGCACTATATGAAACTGAAAATCTCTGTACAGCAGGACAACATCCACGGAACAAAAGGCAACCTAGAGTATGGAAGAATATATTTATAAATGATTTATCTGATAAGGGGTTAATATAAAACATATATAAGGAACTCACATGACTCAACACCCAAAAAGAAAATAACCCAATTAAAAAATGGGTGGAGGACCTGAATGGACATTTCTTTAAAGAAGAAATACAGATGGCCAAAAGGCACAAGAAAAGGTGCTCCACACTGCTAATCATCAAGGAAATGCAAATCAAAACCACAACAAGATATCACTTCACACCAGTTAGAATGGCCACTATCCAAAAGACAGAAATAACAAGTTATTTGAGGATGTAGAGAGAAAAGGGAACCCTCCGACTCTGTTGGGGAATATAAGTTGGGGCAGACACTTTGGGAAGCAGTATGGAGGTTCCTCAAAAAACTAAGAATAGAAGTACCATATGTCTATGACCCAGAGATTTCATTTCTAGGAATTTACCCAAAGAAAACAAAATCCCTGATTTGAAAAGATATATATATGCACCCAAAGATGTACTGCACCCAAAGCATTGAATGCCTTACTCTTTATAATAGGAACAAGATATGGAAGCAATCAAAGTGTCCATCAATAGATGAGTGGATACAGATGTGGTACATATAACACAGTGGAATCTCATTCAGCCACAAAAAAGAAATCCTGCCATTTACAACAACATGGATGGACCCGGACAGTATTATGCTCAGTGAAACAAGGCAGGCAAAGGAAAAGAAAAATGATATGATTTCACTTATTTGTAGAATCTAAAAACAAACCCAAACAGAATGAACAAAACAGCAGTAGACTCACAGACACGGAGAAGCGGCAGGTGGTTATCATGGGGGAGGGGCTGGAGTGAGCGTGACTGTGGGAAATGTGAGAGTGATAAAAAGGCATGAAGATGCTCCACCACAATATGAGTCGGGCACAGGGTGGTGGCACACAGGGAGAACACAGCCCAGGATTCTGTGACATCTTCCTGTGCTGCCAGACAGTAACTGCAGTAGTTGTGGTGAGGATTTAATCGTGTGCGTGACTGTTGAACCACTGTGTTGTATACTTGGAGCCAATATGATCGTATACCAACTATACTTCAATAAAAAATAAAAATAAAAAAGTGAAAGGAGTGGGGATATAGAGCCATATTAACATGCAAATGAAAAATAGAAACAAATCTCATTTTCCTACATTTTCTACTCCCTAAATTACAGAAAATAAGAGCAATTAAATGTACAAAAAAAATGATCTGTTTCAAAATTGTATCCTGATGCCTCTGCTTCAGTGTTTGTGGAATGTTGCTTTAGGCATGGAGCCATAAAAGAGGGCAGGTGGGAAATTAAGGAAAGGTCAGCAATGTGATCTATTGTTAATCGCCTAGGATGGAAAGGAAGGAGTATTGAATTCTTTTTTCCCCTATCCTTTCCATCCCCAATATGTTATTTATTCCAAGGTCTATAAGAAGCTCAGTGTAATTTCTGGTGTTTGAGACAGGTAATGTCACATGCTTATCTTCATTCAAGAAGCTTATAAATATTGCGCTTCTGGAAATTATTCAGAACTGAACAGAAGAGAAAGTTTTGTTTTTCTTGGACAAGAGTGAAAAAGCCATGGAACACATGCCAGAAAGAGAGACACTGCTGCATCTTTAAACACCCGAGACATCAAATATTTTGGAGACAGTAAAAGGTAAACTGACATAAAGTGATGGATTTGCCTGATCCTTTGCCCGTAGTTAGTAGAAATAGTTGATCGTGCTACTTGAATTAATGAATTTTAGAAGACTGCATTGGCTTTCTGATGCCATTATTCTATTTCTCTCACAGAAAGTACATGTTTCTCTTCCTCACTGTGTGTGTAATATCGGCAGGGGAAAGAGATGGTGAATATGTGTGATGCAAATATGTTTAATATGAGGCAGATTTTCATGGCTGTACAATAGGTGTGGTAGACAGAATAATGACCCCCCAACAATGTCCACATCCTAATCTCTGGAAACTGAATATATTACTTACATGAAAAACATGGATTTTGCAAATATAATTAAGTGAAGGATCTTGAGATGGGACAATTACCCTACATTACCTAAGTGAGCCAATGAATTAACTAGCGTCTCTGTAAGGGAAAGAAGAAGGCAGGAGAATCAAGGATGGGGAAGGAGACATAATAACAGAAGCTGAGAAGGAAGTGAAGGAGGGAGGAAAGGGAGGGAAGGAGGAAGACGTACGCAGGGCTCTTGGATCGTAAGGAAATACCTGGGTGTTAATATGTAGATAGGATGCTTAATAATAAACCAATAACTGGAGCAGAGAGTTATCTTGAAATTCCCAAGAGAAAGAGGCATCATAAATGAATCATAGCATATTCTAATACTTTACCCCCATCATTCTCAGGCAGTTCATTCATTCCTCCAATCATTTGTTCAGTACGTGGTCACTGAGCTCTTAGTGAGTGTTAGACACTGGAGACAGACTGGTGAGCATGACAGTTCCTGCCCTTTCTGCAGCTAAAGTTTGTTCCTTCTTTAATTTAATCAACGAAGCAGTATTTATGTATTGAGCATTTCCATGTGCCTGGCACTGTGTGATGTGTTGGGGATACAATAGGGGAGAAAAGCAGTGTGCTGCCTGGTGGAGCTGTGATCTAGAGAAAAGACAGACATTAATCAAAAGGGTCAATTTCCTCCGCCAAGTGCTCTGCGGGAAAGATACGGGAGCTCTGGAGTGAAGAACCAGAGCGTCTGACCCAATACGAGAAGGCTTCCTGGAGGAGCTGACGTATGAGCTGACATCTGAAGGACTGTATAGTTCTGGGTCAGGACAAAAGTGTGCTTCAAGGAAAGGGAATATATGCAAAGTTTTTGTCCCAAAGAGGCACAGTGAAATTTAAAATTGAAAGAAATCTGATGTGGCTGGAATAACAGTGAGTATATGGTAGGTAAAGCTGGAGGTAAGCAGGAGAAAACCGAAGCAAATTCTTACTGATTTATGGATTTTGATTTGACCCAACATCGTAATGGGCTTAACAAAAGAATGCCATGATTTTAAATGTGCCTTGAAAACACCCCTCTGGCTTCCGTGTGAAGGGTGCAGTGGGAGGTGACAAGAGTAGAAAGGGGCAATCTTTGTACTTAAAGTCTTCACATATCGCAGTTGTCCAGGCAAGTGAGGATGGTGTCTTGGCTAAAGAAGAGGGGATGGAGATGGAGCTAGCTCTGCCTACTGATCTTAACAACGGGATTGTATAGTGGATAGGGTGGGGTGGGAAATAAGCTAATGGCTGAGAGTCTTTCAGGTTCCAAAAGTATGCCACAGGACAGACACAGAGCCATTCAGACAGAGGAAGATATCATTAGAAAGAATTGGATTAGGGTAAAGATTTTACACGTCTTACACTGCAGGACTGAGTTGAAGGTGTCTTTGACATACCAAAGATAACAGATAAGTACCTGAAGAGACTCCCCCAGCTCTTGGAGGAGAGGACGGAGCTAGAGGAACTTACGTGGTCATCATGTGCATTTAGACGGTGACTGAATCTAAGGAATGGATGCTACTATCTGGGAGAAGAGAACTTAATGAGAATTGAAGTGGTTCTAGAACTGATCCATTGGTTAGAGCTATAAAGAAGACAAAGGGAAAAGCTAGAGAGAATGCAGGAAACCTGTGGCGGAGGATCTAAGTCAACTCTGGAAGGGATAAGGATTGTGCTTCCTGAGAAGCGAGTGATGAGGCTTCTGGGGGGACTCCTAGGGACACACAGATCTGTCGGTCAGAGAGATATGTTCTGGGTGGAATGATCACAGAGAGAAGCCATGTGTGCCTGGGCTGATGGGGTGAGTTTAAGGCAAGGAAATGGAGACAGAAAGAAAAGTCGGCTCTTGCTGGTCGCTAGAAGGGGGTCAATAGTACATGTTTTTAAGGTAGAAGAGAACCAAAGATATTTCCATGATTAAGGGGAAAAATACTGTTGAGACGGTGAGGATGGAAGGAATGAGGGAGAGAAAGAAACAAAGAGTGTGTGAACAATAACTTAAGGATAATTAATTAGGCATGAATTATGGGACCCAAAGTGCAGGCGGAAGCCCTGCCCTCAGAGAGGAATGTGTGTCAGTGGTGCAGGCGTGCAGCAAGGACGCACGCTGACGTTTGGTCAGAACGTGGATGGCTGGGAGTTCACAAAGTATCACCATGCTGGCTTTGGTTTTCTCTGTGAAATAGGTGGTGAGAACCCCTGCTGAGAACGGGGAAGGAGACAGAAGCTTCGGTGGGTGGCGCAACTAGTGCTCACAGAGGTCGGGTGAACGAGGTAATGAGGTAAATGCAGGACTTCCTGGCAGCTAAGAGGCCCCTTTAAATGGGAAGGAAAACTCCAGTGACGTAATGGGAGAGGTGAGAAAACGCAGATAAAGAACTTTGTTAAGTCTAAACCAGTGTAGATTCTTGGCAGTCGTGGCCGTGAGTTCTCCGGTGCCATTACTGCCTCCTTCCTGGGTTTGCGGTGGGTAGAGGGTGCTGAAAACAGCAGGTACTCTTGTTAAGGTCTAAAATGCCACCTAACCCTTATTTCTGCTTCATTCATAAGTATGTACATCATTTCCCTCCATGTCTGCCTTTCTGAGGGGTGCTCAGTGACTTTGGGACAGAGGTGGGTGTGGAGAGAAGGGACGGACAGCGTGGCTCCAAGCAGGCTGTGCGTCACTGCCTCAGATCACTGAGTCTTGCTTAGTTGGCCATGCCTGGCACATAACAGGTCCAATGAGAATGTTGATATGTGAGAGTCAGGATGAACACCGTTGGCTAAAGAGGAGCAAGGTATATTTTTCAAACAAATTTGAAACTGAGACCACGGCTAACTGTTAATGAGTCAAGGTGTGAACCAAGTGAGAGCCAGCCTAGGGCACCATCTGCTGCGTACCCAGGCTGCCCAGTGTGAGGGCATGAGCTGCTTAGGCAGATCCATTACTGAAGTGCTCTGGGAGCCATGCATGATCTTACTGTGCTGGGTTTGGAGGCATCAGATACGGCCCTGCTGGAGAGTATGTACATCTCAGACTCAGCTTTGGTTTTCCTGAAGCTTTTGAACCATTTTCTGTATTGATCCCAGACCTGCAGAGGCATAATATGTTCCGGATCAGCTCACTGAGAGGGGTGAGGATGGGAAGAGCCTTGAGTGGGAGTTGAACAGTGGTACCTGCTGGCGGAGGAGGCAGTACACCAGGAAGATGAAGGCGCCCTGCAGGCTGTTTATGATGGTGAAGAGGTAGGCCATGACGTGCGCAGCTGCCCCCACCTGCAGGAGGCCCAGGCACCACGTGCATCCCAGGATGAAGAGCTGAGCCGTGGCTTTAAATGTCAGCATCCTGGGTAGGAGGAGAAACAAGGTTCGTGATGCCCCCAGAGCAACACAGTCAAGGCCATTCTCATCTCCACTCCAAGGACGATCCTGCCTCTCCTGGTGGTGATGAGTTCTGGGACTGAATTGTGATCAGCTTTAATCTTTACTGACGCTAGAATATTGCTCACAATAGAAATGTGACTCAGGTCCAGGACAGCACTTCCATTTAGAATGAGGGGGAGAGTGACACTTCATAAGGTTAAGTTTCAAAATTTTAATGATGTTCTGCAGAGATGCCTAATTTCATTCAATCAGTGTTATGAGGAGGTAGTGTACACCAGGCTCTGTGCCAGGTCCTGGACACTAAAAATAACAAACGCAAGATTTTTATTCTAATTTGGAAAGGATAATGACAGGAACACAAAAGAGCATTAAATCTGCACAGGGACCACTCAGGCCTTCTAGTCGTACAGCGTGGAGAATATCGTCAGTGATCCCGTGACACCTTCCCATGCTGACAGACAGTGACTGCACTAGAGGAGGTGAGCACTTAATAAATACTATGGGTAACTGCTGAACATGGTGTCGTACAGTAGAAACCAATATAGGATTGTGTATCAGTGATACTTCAATTTAAGAAATAAAATAAAAGATTTGATGTTGACTAGGATTTTTTTCTACAGAGAAGAAATGGAAGAGGAGTGAGAAGGTGAAGTCAGGGTGCGCTAGAAAGTGCAGGCTGGGCTCCAGGGGCTGGGCCAGATTCCTCTGAGCGCTTCGTGGGAACGTGACATGCTCTTTGCAGTTTTGTTATAGCACCACTGAGAAAAGTCCACAGAATGTTTATTGACCAATGACAACTCTTCCTCTCACCACAGGAGTGAGAAGGCGGGAGTAGAGACGCACAGGCGTTTTGGCCGGGGTGTCAGCAGCACACCACTGAACCGCAGCTGGCTGCCAGGGAAGGGGAGTTGCGCCTGTGCACTCTGGGTTCTGTCAGGTGACCCGAGGGGACATTGCGGGCCGCTGCAGCACCTGGCTTTGTTCTGGGGACACCCGTCATCACCCTCTTCCCCATTTTACCTCATGTTCTGGATGGTGGACACGTCACTGGTGAGGGTAGAGAGTTTTCTTTTCAAAATCCAGAGGGTCATCAGAAAGAAAGCTAAATTGACCTTCAGGAAACCACAGAAAGTTTACTGATTAAAATTTCAGTCTGGTTTCTGTATCCTAGTCTGTCCAACATCAGTTCCACACTTAAGTGCTTTTCATATTTCATAACAGTGTTAAGAGTTTTTAGTTTTAGGAGCAGTCTTAGAAAACCAAACAAAACCTATGACAACCCAAGGATATTGCTGCTTCTGTCATTTGCTCTTCTAACGACCCTCAGCGAAGCATTCAGGATGCCCTGATATCATCACTCACAGAGAAGATGGCACAGGCTGGTCCAAGGAAGCTCCATATAAATCTCTTGTCTGAGCAGAGCCAGCAGCTGAGTATAAGTGAGGGGAAAGAAAGCACTGGTCCTTAGGAATATGGAACAATTACATAAATTCATTCATCCACTCATTCATCAACAAATATTGAGTGTCTATTCTGTGACAGGCTCTGAGGTTGGCTCTGAAGATACAATTATAAAGGAAGTAAACATGGTCTTAAACAATAAATACCAGCAAAAACAATAAAATATGAAAGAATAAGTTTAACAAAAGGAGTGCAAGAACTTGTACACTGAAAATTATGAAACACTGTTGAAAAAAATCAAAGATCTAAATAAATAGAAAGACAAACCATTAATGGATCATTGTTAAGTTGGCAGTACCCCTCAGATCCACAGAGTCAATGTAATTCCTATCAAAATTCTACTTCAAGTTTTTGTTTTATTTTGCCTTCTTTTGTTTGTTTGTTTTTTGGTGCAGAAATCAACAAGCTGATCTTAAAATCATCAAAACAATCTTGAAAATTAAGAACCAAATTGGAGGGTTCATACTTCACTATTTCCAAACTGTCTACAAGTACAGTAATCAAAATAATGTGTTACTGGCATAAGGACAGATATATTAATGGAATAGAACTGAGAGTCCAGAAATAAACTCATACATCTATGGTCAACTGATTTTCAACAAGAATGCTAAGACAATTCAATGGGAGAGAAAATTGTTTTCAACAAATCATGCTGGGAAAACTGGGTATCCAAATACAAAAGAATGAAGTTAAACTCCTTACCTCACAGCATACACAAAAATGAGCTCCACAGCTATCATAGACATAATTTTAATAACTAGACCTATAAAACTTACAGAAGAAAAAAAGTAGAATAAGACTTTGTATCCTTGGGCTAGGCAGTGGTTTCTCTTTTTTTTCTTTTTTTTTCTTTTGGTATCATTAATTTACAATTACAGAAAGAACATTATGTTTACTAGGTTCCCCCCTTCACCAAGTCCCCCCCACATACCCCTTTCACAGTCACTGTCCCTCTGCGTAGTAAGATGCTGTAAAATCACTACTTGTCTTCTCTGTGTTGCACAGCCCTCCACGTGCCCCCCACGCACTATACATGCTAATCGTAATTAGGCAGTGGTTTCTTAAATATGATATCCTAAGCACTACTAACAAAAGAAAAAATAGATAAAGTGGACTTCATCACAATTAAAAACTTGTCTGCTTTAAGGATATTAACCAAGAAAATCGAAAGACACAGATTGGTAGAAATATTTGCAAATCATATACTGATAAAACACTAGTACCTAGAATATATTAAAAACACCTACAATTCAACAATAAAAAGACAAATAACCCAATTTTTAAATGGACAAAAGATCTGAATAGGCATTTCTCCAAAAAATAAATAAATAAAAAGATTTGAATGGGCATTTCTCTGAAGAAGATATGCAAATAGTCAATAAGCACATGAAAAGATGTTCAACATTACTAGTCATTATGGAAATGCAAATCTAAATTACAATGAAATATCACTTCACACTCATTAGGATGGCTGTAACAAAAAAGACATTGACAAGTGTTAGATGTAGAGAAATTGGAACCCTCATACTTTGCTGGTTGAAATATAAAATGGTACAGACACTTTGGAAAACAGGTGGCAGTTTGTCAAAATGCTAAACAGAGATTTGCCATATGCCTCAGCAATTCTCCTTGTAGATATATACCCAAAACAAATGAAAACATGTCCATGCAAAAACTTCTACATATGTATTTATAGCAGGATCATCCATAATAGCAAAAAGAATTGGAAACAATCGAATTGTCTATCAAATGATAGATAAACAAAATATGGTATATCCATATAATGGAATGTTATTTACAAAACAACACCACCACTAGTAACAATAACACCAACAAAAAGTGAAGTCATGACACCTGCTACACCACGAAGGAACCTTGAAAACATCATGCTAAGTGAAATAATCCAATCACAGAAGGCCACATATAAAATTTCATTTATGTCAAATATCCAGAACAGACGGATAATTAGAGACAGGAAGTAGCTGAGTGGACATCGGGAGTTGGGATGGAGGCATATGTAGCAAGAATGGGGAGTGAATGTTACTGTGTACAAGGTTTCTTTTTGGAAGTTGAAAACCTTCTAAAATCAGATTGTGCTGATGGCTATGTAACTCCGGTTATTCTAAAAAATGCTGATCTGTCTACTTTCAAAGGGTGAATTTTATGGTATGTGAAATATATTTCAATAAAATGTAAATACAATTCAACCTAATATTAAAAGGTGCAAATAGAAGAGAGCAAGCTATGGAACATGTCTCCCTGGGTTTGAGTCCCAGCTCAGGCACTTATTAGCTGTGCACCTTTGGGCATTTACTTAAACTCTTTGTGCCTCAGTTAACTCATCTGTAAGATGGAACAAAGGATGGTATCTGCATCATAGTATCGGTGTAAGGATGCATTGTATTAACACATATAAAAGTGTTTAGAAAAGTGCACAGCACGTTGGGGTGGATTAATGATTGTGCATTGAGCATTGACCCCCCTATACAGAATTTTATTGTTGTTAACAACCATTTGATCAATAAATATGAGAGATGCCCTCACAAAAAAAAAATACATACTTTCAATTGTAAAATAAATAAGTAACCGGGATGTAATGTATAGCATGAGGAATATAGTCAAAATATTGTAACAACTTGGTATGGTGATAGCTGGTACCTAGAATTACCATGTATATAAATGTTGAATCACTGTGTTGTACACCTGAAACTAATGTAATACTGTGTGTCAACTACCCTTCAATAAAAAATAATTATCTAAAAAAAAAAAGTGCACAGCACGAAGTAAGCACCTTCGTAAATCTTAACTATGGTACAATATATTATTTTGATTATTTAAATCAGCTCCATTTTTCCAAATGAAAAACTAAAACATCCTACAGGATTTAGGGAAAGAAGTAGGTTAGATTCCAAAAATTACAGTCCTAAGCACTTCGTTTGATTTCATCTCTGCTATTTCAAGGACAGAGCTTTAAAGACATTCTGCGTAAATACTACTATAATTTCCCAACAGAAATATGTCCTAGTGGGTACTACTTACTGTCTCTCTCCATATTATGCTATAGCATAATTTAAAAAATACTTTGGTTCAAGTGGTGTCATGATCAAGCTGGAGAAGATAAAGACAGTGGGGATTTGCATTTACCGGGTGGGTGTTCCATAAAGGTGCGGCCTGGACGCTGCAGAAATGGCCACGATCACAGCCGGGACCCCGTAGCCCACAGGGAACACAAGCCACTTCATGAAGCTGCTCACGCTGGAGTAGCTGACCACGGTCAGGTTGCGTGCCGTGAGGAAGAGGTGCAGACCCGCCAGCAGCATCCAGGTGAAGGAGGCCAGGTAGAGATAGTGTAAGGCCCCCGCGATGACGGCGCACAGCACCTGGGGGAGGAGTAAGGGCTCACCAGGCGGGACTGGCAGGGCGGAGTCTGTGCCCTGGGCTTCTCCTGTACCTTAGCATCCGGGAGAACTCTGATACGCACGAAGGAGTTGTCAGAGGGGGTGGGTCTGTAGGTTGTGTGCTCAGTGTGAAAGTGGCTCCTCACTCCACCGACCTCCACCAGGACCCACTGTATTAAGGCACCCAGTGCAGCATGGAGACAGTGTCAGTACCTTGGTCTCAGTCCGGTCAATGGCCGTGAGGAAGAGCAGGTGGGCCAGGAAGAGGCAGAGGGAGAGATGCAGGTGCAGGGAGGTGCTGGTGCTCTGGATGGCTTTGCACAGCAGGAAGGTGAGGGCCGCCAGGAGGAGGCACAGCAGAGACAGGCTCAGCCCGGCATAGGTGATCACAGTGAGCACGGGATCCTCCTCCTGCGACCCAGCGAAGAGCTCATGGTCACACTGTCCTGCTCTGGGGTAAACCTTCCACCATTTTATCTGTACTTTTAGGTACAGGGAAACCAGGACTGGAGGAGCCAGGAAAATGTGACGCAGGCTTCTCCAGATGGAGAATATCAGCATTTTACAGGATTCTGAGTCGATCAGTTCAGATCCTGCAAGAATTGAGGAGTAGCAGAGTCCTTGCTCCAGACCAAGCCCTGAAATGCACAAGGGCTAGTTGTCCTGTAGAGGTCACCAAAGTGGGCCTTTGGTGTGCATCATCCACAGGAAGCAACCAGTTCACCTGGACAGGGGAGGAGGCAAACATGGCTCCTGACCCACCTGTACTCAGGGGGTCACTGGCCCCCTGTGACCTCTGACATCACCGCATCTTCCCATCTACAGCCCCTGAGCACCCCTGCCCTGCAGAGCACTGTGGTGAGCAGAACTGTAACGTGGCCACGATCCAAGGTGTACACACACCATCTTCCAGGTTTGGATGCTGCTGTAAAGGGATTTTGCAGATGAAATGAGGCCCTACCTCAACTGACTTTAAGAGCACAAGTTTACCCTGGGTGGGTCTGACCTAATCAGGCAAGCCCTTAAAAGATCTGGGTTCTTCTGGAGAAAAAGTTTCAAAGCTTGAGAAAGTTTTGATGTGATAGAGTTTCTGCTGCTGGCCTCCAGAAAGGAACACTGACACCTTGTGAGTTGGCCTGTGAGGGTGCCATGTGACGAGGAATACAGGTACCCCCTAGGAGCTGAGCATGGTCCCCTGCTGACAGGCAGCAGAGAGTGGGATGTAGTCCTACAACTGCAAGGAACTGAATTCTGCCAACAGCCAGGGAGCTTAGAGGACCCCAAGCCTCAGGCAAGATGGTCACCCTGTCTGACACAGTGATTTCAGCCTCGTAAGACCCTGAGCAGACATCCAGCTATGCCATGCCAGACTGCTGACCTGCAGAAAATGGGAGATAATGAGTTGTGCTTTTTAAAAGCTGCTGCATGTGCGGGAACTTGTTACAGAGAAGTAGACACTGAATGCAGCCCCTCAGGGCTCTCACCTGCATATCGTAGTGGGCCATGAGGACGGCAAAGCTGCTGAGGTGGGTGCACTGGCAGGTGGTGCTGGTGTCGCTGGTGTCCACTATCCTGCAGCCTGTCGTGGCCCACTGACCACATCCATCCTCACCATGCTCCCAGAATACACAGAACACCTTCTGCCTTGGCCCAGGGGTCAGTGCCTGTAGGAGCAGGTGCAGGTGGGAGCTGGTGGTTATGGTGTTCAGAAATGCTGACCCAGAGCTGGCATGGGAAAGGTTGTCCTGGGGAGATGATGCATTCTGGGGGAGCCCCCCTGAACCCCAAGGCAGAGTAAGTCAGGAAGGCTGTGCCCAGGGCTCAGGATCCTTCCACACTCACGGCTCCATCCCACCAAGACTCACATGCTTGAAGATGAAGGTGACTGGCGAGCTGAGGTTCTGGGTGTCAGTTTTGCTCATAAAAGCAGAGGTGACATCCGTGAGCAGGATGGGGGGGGGCCCCAGCTGCAAACCCTTGTGTGTCTCATTCAGAACTGCCTGCTTCTCTGGTTCTGGGGCCAGCGGGGCGCCAGCCACCAACTTGCCCATTCCTGGAATGGAGGCCAGGCCCACCACGGAAGGATCTGCTGGACAAGGCCAATATTATTATCTTGGGGTCCCAATAGGGGCCCTCACTATACTCCACACTGTCTTTCAAGCTCTCATTCTCTGTTTGTCACATCCTTGGGCATCTTGTCCCAGCATAAAGCCTCAGTGACCTTCTCCCCGTCTCCACCATTACCTGAGTCACCAGATTCATGTACCAGATCCCAGTTTAGCTGCATCTCTGCCCGATTCTGACGCAAGGCAGTATTCCTGTATCCTTGCTCCTGCACCTCCAGGGCCAATTCTATGGGGTTGTAGTAGTTACACAGGGGAGGGAGGTTAGTGGTTGCCGGGGCTGGAGGAGGGGGAAGGGGACTGACCGCTCAGTGGATGCAGTGTTTACTTTTGAGGTAATGAAAACAAATGAAGAGCAACATACATAAGAGAAGGTCACATATTGATCAGTTGATGAAAACAGCCAGAGGCTCTCTGGAACCTAACTCTGTATCTCCCCCAGGGGAAGTGGCTCAGTATTCACCGATTCACTGTTCACGGGGCCTTTACAGCAAATAATGAGAATCAACTATCTGTTCTTATAAAGGAACAAAAGTTTAATGAAACAGAATAAGGAATGTGGTAATAGATCCTATATGTATGTATATGTATATATGTGTGTGTATATATGTATAGATATATATGTGTGTATTTAATTTGTGATAAAGGCCAATCTTAATGGGTGTAGAAAGGGTTCAGTAAATGATATTGGGGCAAGTGGCTGTCTATTTGGAAGAAATAAAGTTTGATCCCTACCTTTCAGTACACATTGAAATAAATTCTCGATGAATTAAAGATACAAATGGGTAAGACAATATTTTAAAAATAATTATCAGAAAATATGTGATGATTTTTACAATTTTGGAAGCAAGAAAGGCTCCCTAAGCAAAACACAAATCAAGATGCCATAAAGAAAAAATGGACAGATCCAACTAATAATTGCATATAAAAGCACAGAATTAATATCTCTATTGTACTACTATTTGAGCAAAAGTTTTAAATGGGCAAAGAATACGAACACATACTTCACAGAAAAGTAAATCTACATGGCCTTAAAACATATCAAAAGATCAAAAGACATCCAACTCCACTAATAACCAAAGAAATGCAGCTTACAGTGAGATACCATTCTTCAGTTTTCTACCTGGCAAAACAATGATAATATCCCGTGTTGGTCAACATATGCTGTTGATGAAGGCATACATTGGTACGTTTATGAAGACAATTTGGTAGTACTCACTAAAATTTTAAATGTGCATACCCTTCGACATATATGTATATACACACATACACACAAAGACACATGTACAGGAAGGTCTCAGGTGCATTTTTTATAATAGCAGAAAAAAATCCCAGAAACCTAGAAACTGTTAAGTTATGGAATATTCATAGAAAGCAGTAATTTCAAATCTGAAAAATGTGTATACTGGGTTGAATAGTGTACCCCCCATATTCAAGTCCTCCTGGAACCTCAGAATGTGACCGTATTTGGGAACAGGGTTTTGGAGGATGTAATTAAGACAAGGACATACTGAAGTAGAGGAGGCTCTAAATCCAATTAAACGGTCTTGTAAGAAGAGGAGAGAACACACAGAGACCACATGGAGCCGCGCCCCCACAGCTGGGGAATGCCGAGGGCCACCGGCAACAGCCCGAAGCTGGAAGAGGCCCAGAAGGATTCTTCCCTAGAGCCTCCAAGAAGGAATTCAGCCATACTAGCACCTCGATTTTGGACTTCTGGCCTCTAGAACTGTGAGAGAATGAATTTGTTGTTTTAAGCCATCCAACTTAGGTGCTTTGTTACAACAGCCTTAGAAAATAATACGATATGTCTAGCCAAAAATATGTACACACGCCCTTGTGTGTGTGTGCGAACCAAAAGAGAATTTTATATTTGTATATTAATTATATCTATCTGTATAGCTATGGAAAATTTCAGGATACATGTCAAATTATTATCAGTGGTTGCTTGAGTGGAGAAGCCAGGAGAGAGGTGAGCAATTTTACTTTTTTAAAAATGTATTTAAAAAAAAAGGAAAACAAATGAAGGTAATGATTACACTGTGAGTGTACTAAATACTACTGACTTGGACACTTTGGTTAGAATGGTGAATGTCATGTTACATGAATTTTATTTCAATAAAGCAAATCATACTTAAATATCAAATATTAAATTTACATTCTCCCAAATTTAATAAATTGTTTTCTTTTAATGCTCTTCTATTTTATCTTATGTTCTTTATTATAATTATTTCATATGCTGAGAATTCATATTAAAATGAAAATACATGTGATTTACCATTTTGTTCATTTCTTTTTAACCTTTTGTTTACAAGAATAACCCCAAGAAACAAGGGTAGTCACTGGGCTCCAGTGAGGCTGGGGAGGAATGAGGAGGGAACAGCCAGAGCAGGGCCCGGGGACAGACCTGGGCACTTACCTGTGCCTGCAGACGCATTGATGGTCAAATTGAACCCACTGGGCAGGGCCTCACTCAGCCCTCTCAGGACGTTCTCCAGGCCAAGAAGCAGGTTAGTGGCCACACAGCGCTTCTCTGAGTGGGGCAGGGCCTCCAAGTCCCCTGGGGTCGCCAACAGTTCATCCACCCCTTGTATGAGGCCCTGGGGGCATAGGGACACAGAGCCATGGGCCACGGGCCAGAGGGGCTGTATGGAGACGCTGCCCACGCAGCCCCAGAGAGCAGACCCTAGAGACGCTGTGGGGGAGAAAGGTGGCACTGGCTGGGGTTCCTGGGTCTCTGCCCCTGGAATCCAGCACACAGGGTCAACACTGTTCATCAGTGCCAAGGATGACACAAATCCAGTGTCCAGGAACAGCAAGACGAAGGATCATTCGTAGGTGTTGGTGGGTGTTAGCAATGAGGAAAAACACATGTATGTCCAGTCTTCCCACATGCCCTGGGAGAGGCGGGCCTCAGAGAGGGTGCCATTGTGCTGGGGCCTGTCTCCTCCTAGACCAAAGCTTTCCCAGGCCTCAGTAGGGTGCTTCCTTCTCGCCTCCCCCAGTTCGTCCCTTACCTGGATGGTGTCCTTGGCTGAGACGACCATGAAATTTCTGCTGAGATCCTGGATCCTTTCAAAGAAGTGTAAGAGACTCTGTGAAGAGCAGAGAGGAGGGGGTCAGAGTGCCATGAAGGTGAGTGGGGGACTTGGGGGAAACAGGGGTACAGAGAAGGATGCATGGAGGGGTTTCCTGACTCCTCGTCCCTGCTGGGGCCACTCACCTTGCTCTTGATACCAGAGGGCATGGTCCAGGCGGGGAAGGACATCTCTGCAGAGACAGAGTGGAGCTTCGTTAGGTGGGAGGGTGTCTGCATGTGTGTTGGGGGTGAGGCCTGGGGCCAGGCCAGGTACCTTCACAGGTGGTGTTCGTTTGCTTGTTTTGGAATCCAGATTTGGGCTGCCAGCCGCGGCGGCAGTGGCACGCGTATGAGCCCACAGTGTTGGCACAGATGGTGGAGTTGTGGCACTTATGCTACCCGGCGATGCACTCGTCCACATCTGGGGACACAAGGAAGGGGGTCAGGTCTCTTTGCTCCACGGGCCCACCTCCGTTTCCCGTATCAGTGCCCCCCCTAACAGGAGGTGATGCCACCTGGTGGCCCCACCTCCCTGAGTGATGGACGCCAAAGTTGTGGAAGTGTGCAGAGCCTACCACGCAGCACATGAGCCCTGTGCACACATACAGGTTGTGAAATACTGAAATACCTTTGCTCCAATTAGTAACAGCTGCTGCCTGGGGTCCCCAAGGAGCCTCCCCCTTGGTACCCCAGGTCCTTCTCCAGAACCCCCTAGATCTTCTCCCACTAGCCTCAGCCTGGCATGGCAGGGCACCCCAGCATTCATCCTGCTTGGTTTGTGTGGGTGCCGTTGAGTATGTGGTCGGATGTTTTGAGTGTGGGTCTCTGGGGGTGCAGAATCTGAGCTCTGGACCTTCGCAGATGGTGGTGTTTGGGCCATGGGGGGACCCAGGAACTGGCTTCCAGCCAGGGCGGCAGTGGCACTCATAGCTCCCAACGATGTTGAAACAATGGGTGGAGTCATGGCATAGGTTTTGCTCTGAGGTACATTCATTCACATCTGAGGACAAAGCCAGAGGGTCAGCCTCCCCTCCACTCACTGCACCCACTCCTTGGTGCCCGGCACCAAGGACCCCATGTTATTGCACAGGCCACCATCTGGTGACCTTCAGCTTCAACCTCAAAGCACCTTAGGGTGGCCTCCCTGCAAGATGGGCATGGCAGGGACTGGGGTCCCCGGTTTACAGGTGGGGAAAACATGGGGGAAACTGAGTCATGGGGGTTATATTATTTCCTTTCCAGGGATTCTTGCCTGCTCTCTTTCAAGCTATGGTGCACGTTCCTTTCTGGGAACTGTAAGTGACTCGTCTCTCAGCTTCCACGTGACAGATGAGCAAGGGTCGAGGTCTAGGGATGCTCACCAGGAAGGGCCCTGCCACCTCCTGCTCTGTGGAGGGACCGTCCAGGACCACGAATCCCGGGGCAGGGCCTGGCAGGCCCTTGGTGCTGCGGGGCCCTGAGGATCTTCTCCCTCCTCCTGTGGAGGGCGCATCTGCCTCGGCCCCTTCCCCAGCTCCAGAGCAGCCTCACAGCGTCGTCTGGGGCCTGTACCTGTGCACAGCCTCGGGTCCTCCGGACTGAGCTCCAAGCCAGGCGGGCATTGGCAGGAGTAGCTGCCCTGGCTGTTGATGCAGATTCCGCGGCTTCTGCAGACCCTGGGTTTCAGCTGACATTCGTCCACGTCTGCAAGGGGAAGGAGAGGGTGATGGATGCGTGCAGCCGCGGGCAGCCTTCTGGGCTGCGGGTCAGCATGTCTCCTGGCACAGAGGCGTCTAGAAGACCCCTCTGTCTCCTTCCCAGTGAGTGGGTGCCCTTCTTTTCTAATTCACACGGAGGCATCCCGTGGGCGAGCGGGATGGTCCTGACATGCTGTTGTCTGGATGTGGCCACGAGAGGCCCAAGTCCTCCCCATCTGCCAGCTCTGACTTCCCGGGCAGCTCCCGGCTGGGGCAGGGACATCACGGCCACCCGGGTCCCAGCCTGCGCATTTGGACAAAAGGGCCTTCCTGGGAACCGAGTGCACGGAAATGTCTTCCCGAGCAGGACCGTCCTGGCTCGCGGTGACGGCCTTTGTCCTGCCTTCCCAGGGGCTCGCCTGGGTTCTTGGAATCCAGTGACCCTGGCGGGACGGCGCTCACCCATCTGCCCCGACTCTGAGACTCCAGCTCCATGGAGGTGGACCAAGACCCACCCCTGAGCCAGGCCCTTCCAGGCTGAGGCTTTCAGCAGCAGAAGGGAGAATGAAGACCATGCCAGACAGTCCAGGACAGCCACAAATGTGGATGCCAGTCCAGGATAGATGGTGGGGGATGATGTCCAGCCAGGCAGCCTTTGGGGTGGTGACGGTGCCTTCTCTGACCCCTGTGAAGGCTTCCCCTGGGCTGGCAGAAAACGGTGAGAATCCACAGCTGAGCAAGGCCAGCAATGGGTCTCGGCAGGTGCTGATGGACAAGGGGTGGAATACATCTGTGTTCCTGGCCCTTGGCTTCCCACCAGGGGTGCAGGCCTGTGGGCCCCCCGAATGGGACTCAGCCTCTATATTCCATCCCTGAGTGGTCTGGGCCAACATGGGGCAACCTTCTTGGGAGAAGGCCAAGCCTGGGAGAGCAGTTCCCAGTGATGCCCTCTGTTGCTAGTTGTTCCAGATGGAGCCTCTTCCGTTTGCCCCAATCTCCAAGTGTGTCCGTGGTGGTCTGTGTCACCCTGTCCCTCCCACACTACATCCTCCTGGGTCCCGGTCAGCTGAGTCCCCACAGTCCAGTGAACTGAAATCACTGGGGAGGGTCAAGGTGGAGTCTTCCATGGGGAAGTGGGCCGAGGCTGGGCACAGGGAAAGCACAGTCAGGGTGCCAGGTGGTGTCCACCCCGTGAGGTTGCTGACCAGGGACAGGATGGCCAGGGAAGGTGGGTCCACATGTGGATTTTCCCCTCCCAGACTTCTGGACAGGGTCCCTGGGTCCATTACGTCCCCAGAGGTCTGCTGGTGTTCCTGGCATGGCCAAGCCCATGTGGACTCTGGGGGCAGATTCACCCAGGCAATCACCAATCACGGAGAGAGGATGGAGAGCAAGTTGGAATGCAGCTCCCCGTGCGCCCGTGGAGTCTCGATGCTGTCCCTTTTATTTGTTTGATGAAAATAAGATGATGGTTGGGCAGAGTGGAAATTCCAGTATTGCACAAGTGACCCTCTAGGATTCTGAGCCCTGGGGTAACCAGGTAGGTGCCCAGGAGGTCCTCTGATGCCTGGAGAAAGTGGGGTGAGGAGCCAAACCGCATGGACAAGGAGCTGGAAGGTGTGGGGTGCTCGTTACCTTGACATGTGTTCTCACTCGCGTTCCTGAACGCGGCTGCCCCAGAAGCCAGCGCATATCCTGGGCTGCACGTGCAGAAGTAGCTCCCCTCTGTGTTCTGGCAGTCTGCGTATTTTCCACAGGACATGGGCGAGGGTGGTCCACACTCGTTGATGTCTGGAATACAACAGGGCAAAGGGTCACCTCCCCAAAGCCTCCAGCCTGACCCCACTAGGAGGACTGGACAGCACTCAGCTCCTGGGGGACACTCTTGGGGCTGGAAGGGCCGGCTACTCTGAGCCTACTGACTGCTCTGTGCATCTCTGCTCCCTGGATGGGCCTGTGGGCACCTACATTCAAGCACATGGCTGGGCCAGGATGGGGGCTGTCGAGGCAAGGGGGGGGAGACAGAGCACCGACAGGCTCTGGGCCCCGCCCTGTGGAGCTGTGGGCACCATCGGGGACCTGAGGGCAGGCTCCCATCCGGGTGGCGGTGGCCCTGAAGGCTGCCTTCATGCTGAGGCAGTGGAGGGAGTCAGGGCCAGGGGCCCTCCAGCAGGACACGCATCACTCCCACCTGGAAATGGGACCAGGTGGTCAGGCCCCTGACCACTGATGGCTTCTAACTCCCTTCACTCACAGGGGTCCAAGGACACCGCCACACTACTCACCAGGCACCCCTCCAACCCCAGGCCCCAGTATCAGGTCTCTCAAGATGCCCCAGGATGCTGCCATGGGAGTGTTGCTATCTCAGCCCCTGGAGGAAGTTCCCCCTTATCAGAAGCAGCTGAGGACATGAAACGAGGAAGCTGCGTGCAGGATCTCACAGCTGAGTCACTGGTGGTTTTCTGGCATCTTATCTCTGTATTTTCTAAACATGAGAGGAAAGATGCCTTGAGTGGGGTCCTGTCTGAGCAGCTCAGGGACCCACAGATCAGGGGCTGGACATGACTGGCTAAAAATAACTTAAGAACCAGGAACATAAGATGAATCAAAAAACAGAATGCCTCTTGTACAATCCAATCTGGGGACCAAAAATTTTAGAGCCTTAAACGACTCATGGCATCGTGATGAGTCTGGACAGGCAGCTGGTCTCCCCCAGGTCAGAGTTCTGTCTCTGAATACACGCATTTCCCTTGCAAGGCTGTAGGCCCAGCCTGTGGGCATCAGCACCAGGATACGAGATGATGCGGGAGGCACACACACCTGAGGGATTCATGCTCAGCCTCAACCCAGCCAATGGGATTTCCCTCCACCCTTCTCACATGGTGGCAATGGAATGCAGTGGAGCTGAGACAGTTGGGAGTGCAGTGTGCAGGAGTGGAGGACATGGCAGTGGGAAATTCCTCACCCGGACAAGTGCCCTTCCAGAAAGGAGCCCAGACAAGTTACATTAGCAGCAGGTTGTCCTCTCCAGGTTCACCCACATGCAAATCTCCTAGACACACGTGCAAATGCACAAAGAAACCTTTAGGACGACCTCTAGGGTCAGGGATGAGATGGGCAGTAGTTACTTTTCCCTGATAAAATCTGCCTTTATCCCAAACATTAAATAATACATGGATACTTTGAAAAAAAAAAAGAAAGAAAGAAAATGTAAAAGAAAATCACCCATAAGACTACTATACAGATTGCTGGAAAATTTTAGAGGTATTTTTCTTATCTTTTCAGACATATTAGGAATATTTTATGCAGCTAAGACTATTCTGAGTAGATGAAGAATATTTCTCTTTTTTTCTAAAGGTGATTATCTTTATTTTATTTTTGGTATATACTTTAGGTCTCTTCTGCCAACATATTTCTCTTGAAAGATTCTGCACACATCTGCACATTTGAGAGATGCTGCTTCTGGGGAGGACCCCGTTAGTAGAGATTGTTCTGTTGACCACTTTCAGGAGGTCTTGACTGCTTTTTATTTCACTGAAGTACCATTGATATACAATCTTATATTGCTTTCAAGTACACAACACAGTGGTTCAACAGTTACCTGTGTAATTAAATCCTCACCCCCATGAGTACAGTTCCATCTGTCAACATAGGAAGATGTTACAGAATCATTGGCTATATTCTCCATGCTGCATTACCACTCCTGTGACCAACTTATGATTGAGAATTTTTGTCCTCCTTTATCTCCATCACCCTCCCCCCTACCCACCCCAACCCCTTCCCCATGGTTACTACCAGTCACTTCTCAGTGTCTGTTGAGTCTACTGCTGTTTTGTTCATTTTGGTTTGTTTTGTTTTTAGATTCCACAAATAAGTGAAATCATGGTATTTCTCTTTCTCTGCCTGGCTTATTTCACTCAGCATAATACCCTCTAGGTCCATCCATGCTGTTGCAAGTAGCAGTATTTCTTTTTTATGGCTGAATAATATTCCACTGTGTATATGTACCACAACTTCTGTACCCATTCATCTACTGATGGACACTTAGGTTGCTTCCATCTATTAGCTATTGGAAATAGTGCTGCGATAAACTTAGGGGGGCATATGTCTTTTTGAATCAGGGATCTTGTTTTCTCTGGGTAAATTCCTAAGAGTGGAATTCCTGGGTCAAATGGTATTTCTATTTTCAGTTTTTTGAGGAACTTCCATATTGCTTTCCACAATGGCTGAACTAATTTACATTCCCACCAGCAGTGTGGGAGGGTTCCCCTTTCCCCGCATCCTCGCCAGCATTTGTTGTTCCTTGTCTCTTGGATGTTGGCCATCCTAACTGGTGTGAGGTGATACCTCATTGTGGTTTTAATTTGCATTTCCCTGTTGATTAGCAATATGGAGCATCTTTTCATGTGCCTGTTGGCCATCTGAATTTCTTCTTTAGATAAGTGTCTATTCAGATCCACCACCCATTTTTTAATCAGGTTATTTGCTTTTTGGGTGTTGAGGTGTGTGAATTCTTTGGATTAGTTAATATTTTGGATGTTAACCCTTTGTCAATATGTCTTTGATGAATACATCTCTCATATGGCCTTTTCTTCACCAGGTGTAGGTGGTCTGTTCTGTAGTCTTCAGGTTGTTTCAGGGTGAGCGGCGTTTGCTGTATTTGCTTCCTCGGTTTGTATGTGGGAGGAGGTTTCCACCTTGCCTTCCTGCTCTGCCATCCTTTTCCCCCTCCTTGATGAGTATTTCTTGATGTAAAAACAGTGTAATTTCGTTTTCCCATTATTTTTTTAGAAAAATGCACATAGCACAGAAACTGCCATCTTAACCATTTTAAGTAGTATGATTTCCTTTTGTGATCCTGTGTTCTTGAAGATTAAAACTCCTTAGTTTTACATCTGGACCTAGGTCCTACCACCTTTCTAGCTGTTGGCTTTGATCAAGTATGTCTGTTTGTGCTACTGATAGTGTCCTTTGCTGTACAGAAGGTTTTTAGTTTGATGTAGTCCCATTTGTTCATTTTTTCTTTTGTTTCCCTTGCCTAAGAACATGTGTTCAGAAAAAAGTTGCTCATGTTTATATTCAAGACATTTTTGCCTATGTTTTCTTCTAAGAGTTTTATGTCTTACATTCAGGTCTTTGATCCACTCCAAGTTTACTTTTGTGTATGGAGTTAGACAATGATACAGTTTCATTCTCTTACATGTAGCTCTCCAGTTTTGCCAACACCAGTTGTTGAAGAGGCTGTCATTTCCCCATTGTATGTCCATGGCTCCTTTATCATATATTAATTGACCATATATGCTTGGGTTTATATCTGGGCTCTCTAGTCTGTTCCACTGGCCTATGGGTCTGTTCTTGTGCCAGTACACATTGTCTTGATTACTGTGGCTTTGTAGTAGAGCTTGAAGTTGGGGAGCATAATCCCCCCAGCTTTGTTCTTCCTTCTCAGCATTGCTTTGGCTATTCGGGGCCTTTCATGGTTCCATATGAATTTTAGAACTATTTGCTGTAGTTTGTTGAAGAATGCTGTAGGCATTTTGATGGGGATTGCATTCAATCTGTAGATTGCTTTAGGCAGGTTGGCCATTTTGACAATATTAATTCTTCCTATCCATGAGCATGGGATATTTTTCCATTTGTTAGTGTCCTCTTTAATTTCTCTCATGAGCGTCTTGTAGTTTTCAGGGTACAGGTCTTTCACCTCCTTGGTTAGATTTATTCCTAGGTATTTTATTCTTTTGATGCAATTGTAAATGGAATTGTTTTCCTGATTTCTCTTTCTGCTAATTCATCATTAGTATATAGGAATGCAACAAATTTCTGTGTGTTATGTTCTTGTTTTTTGAGGTAAACCTGTATTGGTATGCACTTTTCTATTGGAACTACCTTTGCTGCATGCCACAGGTTCCAAGCTGCTGAGTTTTCACTTTCATTTGTCTCCATGCATTCCCTGATTTGTTTTAATTTGGTGATTGATGCACCGGTTATTTAGAAGCATGTTATTTATCCTCCATGTTTTTGTAGGCTTTTTTGTTTTCTTTGTGTGATATATTTCTAGTTTCATACCATTGTGGTCTGAGACAGTGCTTGATACAGTTTCAATCTTTTTTAATTTATTGAGGCTCTTTTTGTGGTCTAGTATGTGATCTATTCTGGAAAACATTGCATGTACACTTGAGAAGAATGTGTTTCCTGTTGCTTTTGGGTGGAATGTTCTGTAGGTATCTGTTAAGTCCATCTGATCTAATGTGTTGTTCAGGGCCTGTTTCCTTGCTTATTTTCTGTCTGGTTGATTTGTCTGTTGATGTGAGTTGTGTGTTAAAGTCTCCTAAAATGAATGTGTTGCAGTCTATTTCCCCCTTTAATTTTAGTATTTGTTTTACATATGTAGGTGCTCCTGTGTTGGGTGTATAGATATTTATTTATAATGGTTATATGCTCTTGTTGAACTGACCCCTTTATCATTATGTACTGTGTTTCTTCCTTTGTATTAGATGGATCTGCTATGCTTCCTGATGTAGAGAGTAATGGCTTTATGAAGGAGGCTTCCTCTGGTGCCCAGAAGCTCAGCACTCTATCCTCTCCGGGGCCTGGTTCTCCTTTGCAGTGGAGCCCCAGCTGCTGTTGGGCTATGGGTGGGGCCGACTTTCTGTCTGTCTGCCAGAACTGGTCTGTCTCTGTCCACCAGGGATGGAAGTTTGCCTCAGCTGGCCCTTTGGGAGCATAGTAGCAGCACTTCTGCTGGGATGAGTGTGGGCAGAGCTATCCTCTGCCTGCTCTGAAGTGA